AAATCGGTTGATTTTGAAAGGAGATTCGGTCAAAATCGGATGGTCAGCTTTGAAATCTGAAATGGTTAGTGTATACACAAATTTCTTGTCTGCAAAAATAAAGACAGAAAATAGAATAACCAATATAAATTTATTGATTTAAAATAAAATGAGTACAATCTCTAATAAAATTTCTAATCAAAGAAAAGCCTCTTATTCGTCTCTTCAATAAGTTGATTCGAGGGCTCGATAGCGCTCATTCTTGAATTGAGTAGCGAAATCTCCTCCAAGTAACGTGAAGAAGACGGTGAATTTGTAGAACTTTGATTTGAGGGCTTGATAGCTTTTTTCCAAATTAGATTTGTAGAATCTCCTCCAATTTAGTAGAAGACGACTATAGATTTGTAAAGTTTGATGACGAACTTTGATTTGAATCTCCGAACTTTAAGTTTTATGGAGATTGATCGGCTTTGGTGAAGAAACCTCGGGGCTTTAGGCTTGAATTTGATGGAGCTTTTTCTTGCTTGATGTAAATTTTTGTCACGCCCTGAAAAGTTCACCTCAGGCAACCACTCTACCAAGATTTACAACAACACGTGATCCCAACTATAAAACAATAGAGTCCAATACACATGACATTCTTTCCTCTTGAAGTATTCCCCAAAATAAAGTTTTACCTAGATATTCTATTAGATTCTTCCAAAGTAGGAGTCCAAAAGAAGGAAAACAGTTCAAAAGAAAAGAGGAAGAAGTTATATAAAAAAAAAAAAAAAAAAAAAATCGTAAGGACATAAACATTAATCCCCCCAAAACAATTACAATGGTCAACACAATGTCCCCAACAAAACTTCAACAAAAGGATGCTAGCAGAATAGACATCAAGCTTGAGAGGTATTTCGTCCTCATTTCCTGAAAAATTGTTAGTTTTTGGGGTGAGCATAAGCTCAGTAGGTGATGCATTTAACAAGTTATATAATCATTTGAAAAGCTTATGCTTATGCAATGCATGGGTGTGTATGACAAGGTTATAAACAATATTAGAGTATGCCACTTATAGGAAATAAATGCATTGCACATAACTCATTTCATAACTATACTACGTGGATAACTGTTAGCATAAATATAGAAATTAATCCCACATTTGCTGGCTCCAAAACGGCAGGGCAATGGGCACCCAAATTATCAAAACCATTCCACATTTGCCGACTTCGTAAGCGGCAGGGACGTGGACACCCAAAAACCATCCGTGTTTCCACATTCGTCGACTCCAGAAACGACGGGCTCGTGGACACCCCAAAATGCTTTCCCACATTCGTTCGGTGATAAGTGCAGACAGGGCAATTGGGCACCTTGACTTCCCGTGCGGGTACAAAATACAATACACAACTCAATTCCAACCCAACTCGCTAATTAAACTCACAGACTATTTACCCATTACTGACCTTCAACTAATTATACATGGCGGAACCAGGGAGAAATAAATAATGCAATATGATGCATGAGTGTATATACGATGCCTTGCTTTCCTAAGATAATATTAATTCATAATAAATCCACCTCTTCACATTTCATTATCCAAGAATCTATCATCAAGCAATCATCACCCTCTTCTCAAGGTTTACCTTAAGAAGAAATCTCCAATTTTATATTTCAATCTCAAAATCATGTATTTACACTCAATTTCATGTTTTAGAAATCAAATGAGCAAAACCCCTTTTTATAACTTAAAATTTGAAAGCTAGGGTTTGAGTAAAATTGGGGCTTTTCACTCTTTTATGAAATTGGAATATTTATCCATCATGAACAATGATTTTCATCCACAATAAGTGCAAATCTTTCAACAATCACAACATTTCACCATCATCATACTCTTATCTATAGTCATCAACCTCAAGCCAATATATATATACATATATATAAATATATACACATCTATCTACATGAATAGATTGGGAAAATACTACACAAGCTATTCAAATTGAAGATATAGAGAGTTAAAGGCACCCCTACCTCGAGTTGTGATGCTAGAGTGGCTACACACGCTCGTACTTCGTTGATTTAGTGAAACAACTGGTGAGAGTGTTGATCTAACTTCTCTTACAACCAATCTTGCAAGATCTTAAATAGATCTTGAGTTAAAACTAGAGAAATCAATGGAAATCCATGGCCTTGTGAGCTAGGGTTTGAGAAAGGGTAGATTTAGAGAGAGAGAGGATAGAAAAGTGGCTAGAAAAGGGCTTGGAATCACTATTTAAAATTTGTTGTCCTCGACAGCCTGCTTGAGCGCAAGGCACGAATAAGTGGTCCCGTTCGAGCATAGACTCCCTCGCTCGAGCGGAAAAGAACAAGTCGCAGAACTTTTACAGAGCTACAGGGAAACTACTGGGAGCATGCACTTCATGCTCGAGCGGCAACTCTCCCGCTCGAACGACCCGCCTACAAAACACAAAATACTGGGAGCTGAAGATCTACGCTCGAGCGGGGTGAGAAACTCAGGTGCCGGGTTATGGACAAACCCGGGCCGACTCGGCCCATGAACACCCTTACCTATGGCACTTTCTTGTCCTTTTGTCTATTCATATTTGAACTAGATGACAATTGTTATGCACTAACAATGCACGCCTTTTTGCCAAGCAAACACATGTATTGACCTTGTGTGACCCTCCATTATCCTCCTCGTTCGGTCAATGCGACCACCTCCAATCATTGTATGGTACGCGGACCTTCGACTAGCATGCACTTGAAGACCCCAATTCTATCCAAAGAGGGATCTCAAAAGCCAAGGATTTACCTCCACTATTACAGTCGTCAGAAACGGTCTTGTGTAATCTTTGACAAGAAGCCTAGCCCAATGATATTGACATCTTTGCTTGTGTCTTTGTCAACCCTTAGAACACTTCCACAAACACCTTAACAACCTCCTCATTCTACAGGTGTAGTGACAGCCTAGTAAGTGAACCCAAATGGCCTTTGGACCACCATTTCCATGGCAACACTCTCCTACCATAGACCACCAGTCAGAAGAACTCAACTTTTTTCATTCAAAACCCTTTTTCGCCTCCTCTTTTGATGGTAACAAAATAGATAAAAAAGATCTTTAACATCAAACCCAACTCTGGTCGAGACCTTCCAAGGGTGATTAGCATATTCGTTGTAGAGGGGATGCCCCTATGCTAGTCTACTACCCTCCCCATCAAATCTATATCCGAGAAATGTACGGTTTTCTTGGCATCAATAGAATTTACTACTCTCTTTTCCCCTTGTAACCTTAGTCTAGAAGGGCTTTGATTTAGTGGTCAAATACACCATTTCAGGCACCTACATAAAGGATCAACCTCTTTCACCTTGGTTGGTTCCTTCTGCACCTTGAGTTTCGACAACTTCTTCGCCACATCCCTCAAAGAGGACGCCCTTTATTCTTTGGCAAGAAGACCACCATTTCCTACCTTGACCAACCAAAATGCAAAGGAACCTTCCCCGTTAGTATGAAGGAACTAACATCCATACGACTACCTTGTCACAAAATCCTTCTCACCTTCGCTACACATCAATTGGTTAAGGACTTCACACGACCAATCTAACTTCTCATTCTTCAGCCTGACCTATTGATTCAAGTTTGCCTTCTCTCTTTGAGCATCAGGAAGTCACCATCTCCATCTCTATCATCTTCCTCTTCAAGGACAATCTTAGACCATCCCATCTAAAGAGCTACGTTACACGGACTCTTTGTATTTTTAGAGGTACCCATGCCGACACAACATGACACAAGTACGGGTGGGGAATGCTGCTAAATACAAATGGATACGGTTGATTTTCTTTTCTAATTTTTACAACAGCAACAAAGGAGGAGGAGGAGAAGAGAAATATGGCTCGCGACCTCATCGTCATCGTCGTTCGTCATCTCTGTCTTCTCTATTCATCTTTGTTGATGGTTGCTAAGGTTATATTAAAGGGTTTGGTGCATTTGGGCTTATTTAGGATACACTTTGGTCTGTTAATAAAATGGGCCTTATAATAAAAATTATAAGATTATTGGGCTGGCTGGCTTTTACATGAGCTTCTTATGTTTGGGCCTAATACTAATTAAGTTGGAATTTAACTTGTATCCATGGATAATCAATTATTCATTTTTTTAAATAATGTTATATATATTTTTTATTCAATATTTTTTAACTACAAATGTGTAGCATCATCATAAACATATGTAATCATTCTGAGCCATAAATTATTGTAAACATAATATTTTTTTAACATATCCATGTTTGGCCGTATCCACGTACTCGTGTATAATTTTTGGGTACTTTTTAGACGTACCCTTGTATCGCTCTTTTAAAAGGTTTGTTGGATGCTCATTTAGAGGTTTGCCAAGTCCGACCCCTAGATACATATCTACACTTGACACTCGTACCCGAGTCCATGTAATGTAGCTAAATAGTGACTCTCCATGCTGAAACCTTCATCACTTCTCTCAATTTAGTGCATTTCTTTTATCTAATAAAAATCAATAATATAGAAATTGATTATGTCTAATCTTGTATAAAGAGCATCATCTAACACCTTTAATTGTCCTTATTATCTCTGTGTTAGCCCGTTTACATCTATTAAAAATTTCGTCATTTTTTTTGCCACTTTTTAAAGCATTTATTTATTTTCTTCTACAACAACTTGAATCTCATTTTTATTGTTTTTCGAAAAGGAAAAATGTTGCATATGGCATGCGTTTAAAATTTCAGTCACAAGGATTCATAACCAATTTGGTTCATAACCAAAAACACCAAAAAGCCTCATAACCTAGGCCACTTCTGTTCATAGCCGCAAAGCCTCATAACCAAGTTCACAACCAACAACCCCAAGTATGACCACCACAAAGCCTCACAAGTACATGATTCATATCTAGACCAAATGATTTCATAACTGCAAGACCATAGAATCAGAGAGTTTTTTTATTTTTTTATTACAGATTCAGTTTTCAACTATGTCCTCCTTTATTTGTTTAAACTATTCATCTTGTTTGGTTACAGGTTTCTATTTTTGTACTACTTGGGATTGTTGTTGCAGGAGCTGCCCTAGGGTATTGGATGGTGCAGAAATTTGTTATTTCAGATGATGGAAGTGTGGATGTTGGCGCAGCTCAATTTGAGAAATGGGCCATGCACATCATTGCAGCCACATTTATCTTCCAGGTGGCTATTCTGTTCATGTTAATAGATAGTGTGATAATGCTCTACTTGCGTATCTCTGGACCAAACGGAAATCAGTGTGCAATTTGCTTTGCATTCCTGAATTTTTTATTCTTATTTTCTGTCAGAGTACTCTTGATACTCCTTTGGCAATGGGGGCGTCGGCTTCTTGTTTGTCAATCTGCTTTCTTGTCACTTCCTTCAAGTGGAATGGTCAGAGTAAGTTACCTGTACCATTTTTTCCCTACTCTCCCCTTGCATCATGCTGGCAGACTGGTAATTATAGTACCAGATAAATGTTCATATAATTGATGCTTAACTCAATTTATTCAACTTATTAAATCCAAAGCAAATAGATCTTATTAGCTTTTTGAGTTTATCTGTTGGGATGTTGAAATCCATTTTGGATTAGTCCAAATGGGTGGTTTGCTTGATTTAATATATGAATGGTCATGAATATTGATTGAAGAGAGGTCTGCTCAGTTGATATAATAGATTTAAAAAATCTTTCGTTTGCTTGGTTTAAGAAGATCTTAACTAATTATTTGTATGTAGTTCTACCATTACTTTTGGGAATTCAATTTATTCTGCAAATGGGAATCCTTGGCGGAGTAGAGGACGAGCAAATGTAAGACACAATCGTGCTGAATTTCTCAGCAGGTCAGGGATGGTGGCTTCACGGGGAACACTGTGGAACAGCCCAAGGAGATCTTCTGGTTGGTCGGACTCTCCCGTTAAAGGTACACGTGTTAAACTCTGCATTTTCTCTCCCTAATATTTGGTTTGTCTGTTGGAACATTTTTTCTAAAAAGATTTGAAGCTTCTGCAGAGCATTTTATTTCCTCTTATTTTCCTTTGACATCATGGATCACTTCCATAGTTACCACGTAAAACTCCCTGTCAGATCTCTTATGAACATGAACATGCAAGGGCTAGGATGTTTTCTGTAAGTAACATGTTTTGAAAAATAGGCAAGGATCACTACATTGGCGCCTTAGTGCAATGAAAAATAGGAAAAGGTCCTTATGTTTTCTTGGATGAGCACCTATAAAGAAATTAGCCTAGGATTGTTGGTTTACATTAGCAACTTGGAAAAGGGAACACTAACAGATAAAACTATGGAATTAGTAGATTTTATGATTAGAAGGAAAGTATAACATGCTTACAAGAAACTAAAGAGAAAGTAAATGAAATAGATAAAACTCGGTACACCATTTTGTATGCTGGAAATATTGGTTAGTAGATAGATTTTTGCGAGTCTTGCGTGGTTGAGTGTCAAGGCATATGGATCCTGATTTGTTTACCATTTTTGATTTCCTTGACGATGTAATTGGCTAGCGCTTCTTTTTATGGGGACCTTTTTGTATCTTTAGCATCTTCTTGATGCTCTTCTTCAATAAAATTTACTTATCAAAAAAAAAAAAAAAAAAAAAAAAAAAAAGATGTAGAAATGGTGTTGCTAAGCATCTGAAAAATAAGGCAGTAATAGTTATGAGAATAAGTTGCATAATAATATTAATTAAAATTGTAACTGTAGAGTATAATTAGCGCCTATGCACCCCAAATAGGCTTGGAGAAACATAGTAAAATGAAATTTTGGGATCAACCGGATGAGTTAATACAACAAATATTTGTAGAGGAGACAATAATTATAGGTGGAGATTCCAATGGTTATGTCTGAAAATATAAGCAAGTGCACGAGGGAATACATGGTGATATGGTTTTGGTGATTGAAATGAGGGTGGAGAGAACATCTTAGATTTCGTAGTAGCATTTGATCATGTAGTAACCAACAACTTTTTTAAAAAGGAGGGTAAAACACAACTTTTAAAAATGGGTCAAATAAGAGTTGGATAGATCCATTTCTTGTAAGAAAAATAGACCGCTGAATATGTAAAGGTTTCAAGGTTATTTCCAAAGGAAGTGAATGGCACAAAGTTGGCTAACAATATTCAATATATAGTATTATATACAATAATAAAGAGCAAAATCAAAGAGGGAAATATATTAAAAACTCATGAACTAGATGTGAAATCTAAAAAGTGAGAAATTGAGGATAAAGTGTTTAAAGAAGTAACGCTGGATTTGAAAGGTGTTACTAATAACACGTGGAATACAATAACATAATGCATTGAAAGAATATCGTAAGCAGTGCCATGGAGAGTCAAAGGGAAAAACTCCTATAACTAAATATACTTGGTGGTTGAATAGTGCGATATAAGCCATAGTAAAAGAGGATAAAAATGGGAATAATTTTAAGACATAAGTTGATCAATAAGGAGGTTGGATGAGGAGATTAAGAAAAAGTGCGAATGATATTTTGAGAAATTGTTAAGTGAAAATCATTTTAAAAACTTGGAAGGAGAGGAATATGATAGTCTTGATGGAACTAGAGAATATAAGTTTTATCATTTAACGAAGAGAGTTTGAGGTGGAATTTGCATTAAAAAAAGATGAAATAAGGCAAGGCATTAGATTTATCATAAAAAAAAAAAAAAAAAAAAGAGGCAAGGCATTAGGACTAGATTGTATCCCTATTGAGGCTTGGAAATGCTTAGGTAAGTAGTTGTTTGGTGAACAAAATTATTTAATAAGATTCTAATGACTAGGAAAATGGCTGACGAGTAAATAGTGTTTTAATACCTATATATACAAATAAATGAGATATCCAAAATTGCAACAATTATAGAGACATTAAGTTGATAAGTCATTACAATAAAATTGTTGGTGAGAATGATTGAGCATCGCTTGAGTGTTATAACAATAGTGTTTTGTTTGGGTTTATGATTGGTAGATCAAATATGGAAACACTATTTTTACTAAGAAGATTAATAGAGAAGTACAAAGAGAAGATGAAGGATCCCAATATGGTTTTTATAGATTTTCAAAAAAAAAAAAAAAAAACTTGCGATAGGGTGCCTATAGATATAATCTAGGAAGCATGGACATGGATACGAGATATGTATGTGGCGATACGACAAAACCTAAAAAGTAGGATACATGTACGGCTAGAATACGTATATATACATTTAAAAAAAAATTATTAGGGAGTTAAACATAAGCTCAAGAATGTTGAGAGATCGCATTGTAATTTTATAATGCAAAACACTAATCTTTAAAAATTAGGTATTAATTTAAGATAGTAGCTTGTTTATTTTTTAAATTTTCAATAGGTCTTGCAAATATTTCATTTTAATATCAAGTTTAATATGTTTATATTACAATAATAGAGCAATCCACAACTTGTTTTTGTGCTTTTCCTCTTTGGCATTAGTAAAAATATTGTATTCAAGTTTACTCGCTTATTTATTTGTTAATTTTACTATTGTTATATTCTTTTGTTAATCTTTATAGAGGACATGCATGAAACAATAAAGATACATCAATTTGACAAATTTTATTACTTTAACTCTCACTATGTTCTTGAGTTGAGTGGGGAAGAAGGATTCATATAGCCGACCCCGTTAGATGAGACTTAAGGCTTGGCTTGGTTTGGTTTGTTTTGGTTTATATATTTTCAGAATCATTTAAACAAAACCACCACTAACTCTGAATAAAGAAGAAAGAACTCTTACTATGTTCTTTTCAAATAACTAAATAAAGTATTCGGAATAATATGTGACTTGGAGTATCCGATATTTCAAAATTAAGTATCTGATGCTCCAAAATTAATGGAAAAATAATTAAGAAGTATCTAATACTTTTAATAAGTATCCGCGAGTATCCAAAGAGTATTGGTATCCAATACATATACGATATGGGTATGTCTCTCTTTTTGAAGTATCCTCGCTTCATAGGATATAATATGGTGAGTGTTGGTGAAAAATGGTGTGATCAAAAGGTACATGCATGCAATAAAACGCATGTATAATGGGGTATCAACCACAATTAGATCACTTGTAGGAGAAACTAGTAAATTCTCAATCACTTGTATTGCATCATGGGCCAACTTTGAGTCCTTACCTATTTACCATGGTCATGGATGAATTAACTAAACACATTTAGGATGATAGTTCGCAGATGATATTGCTCTAGATGAAACTAAGAAATTTACACTGAACTACAAATATGGAGAGAAGCACTCAAGTTAAAAGGGTTTAAAATTAGTAAAAATAAAAGTGAATTTGCAGTGTGACTTAGCAACAATAGAAATAGAAATGATAGAGACGTGAAGATTGAAAATCAGAAATAACAAAGTGAACTTTTTTGTTACTTAGGTTTGATTATTAATAAGGATGGTGAGGTTGAAAATGATGTGATTCATAGAATTAAAGTAGGTTGGATCAAGTGTGGGAGTGCATTTGACAGATTATGTGATTGACAAATTCTAACAAAATTGAAAGAAGAATTTTATAGAACAACTATAAGGCTAATGATGCTTTATGGGACAAATATTGGACAACTAAAATACATGTCCATAAAATGAGTGTAGTTAAGTTGAAGATGCTTAGATGGATGTGTGGTAAGACTAAGAAAGATAGAATTAGAAATAAATATATTCTTGAAATGGAGACTAACAGAGGCAGTAGTGAAGAGATGCGATGCTGTAACAGTAGATGGAAGTGTTAGGAGACGAGGTAGGCCTAGATTAATGTTAGCTAGGGTTGTAAATAGAGATATGGATTTACTTAATTTGACTAACGAAATGGCCTTTGATAGGGCCGTGTGGAGAAGAAGGATTCATGTAGCTGACCCCATTCGATAGGAATTGAGGCTTGGCTTGGTTTGGTTTGGTTTGGGTTGGTTCTTGAAATGGTAGAAGTAACACTGATTAAAAGATAAGTTGAGAGAAAATAGGTTAAGATGGTTTGGTCATTTACAATGAAGAAATGTAGATGCAACGGCAAGGAAGAGTGATATGATTTCTATAAATAAAATGTTGGGCGAAGGGGAGGACTTAAACTAACATGGGATATAGTATTAAAAAAAAGATATAAATGTATTTACTCCCTCCGTTCCAAAATATTAGTCTCATATTCCATTTTTCATTGTCCCAAAATATAAGTCCCTTAATATAAGTCCCTTTTCAAAAATCAAGTACTCAAATACTATAAATTTTCTATTTTGCCCTTATTTTAAATTCATGAACAATACAAAAAGTACAATTATGAGAATTGATATTTCCAAAAAAATGTACTATCAAAGGGTAATTTTGGAAAACTAATATTTTTAAAGTGCAATAATTGTACTACAAAAAGAAGGTTGGATTTCCCAAAAGGGACTATAATTTTGGAACGGAGGGAGTAATTTATTTGAACTTGTAGCCATCGATAGAGCAAAATGACAAAAAATGATTGATGTAGATTGGGAAACAGTGCTTAGATTGGATTGGTTTGGGAGCGGGAAATGGAAACTGAAACTTCATGTAAAAATATAATGGAAAATGTGAAACATTATGTGATGTAAAGATTGAATAAAAAAAAAAGGGTAAAGTTTGAATAGAATATTTATAAGAAAAATTTATTAAGAAATTTAAAAATAGCAATGTAAATTATTTTTATGTTTTCATGATCAATTAAAATACTGCTACTACTACTACCCAATATCTACAGTAACTTATTAGAGCAATCATATATTATTGTTGAAAAATAGTATTTGCGAGTATTCAAAGATGGTAAAAATTATGAAAAGTGCAGTTTTAGAACATTTTTTTGAAAGAGTTTCTCGCAAGCTTATTCAAATTGAGTTGGAGTTTTTCCTTTCATATGTAAATTGTACTTGAATTCTTGGATTGTTTTGGAGATGTTTTCTAGAGGTTTTCCTTAAAATTTCATGAGTCCTGTGTCTGTTCCTGAAATAAGTCTACACGGAAACAAGTTTCCTCTCTCAAGAGATTTCCTAGTCTCCCTTTATCCCTCTTTAATTTCTTTCTTTACCCTTGTATGTGGTTATTGCCGTCACTAGAAATATGTGTACAAAGAAAGTAAGAAGTTGTGGAGGTTTTTTGGACGAGAGAAAGCAAAAGATTATGGTAGCTGTGTTTATTACAGAATGTATGGTGGTGGCAGTAGTGTCTGGTTGAGTGAGAAAGTGGTGAAAGAGGGTGTTTAGTTGGGTTTCCGAGATTGTGATTAAATTGGTCTGGTAAGAGAGTGTATTCGAGTAAACTCCACAGGGATCATATGGTTATCTATGACTAAAATGATAAGGTATAAGTGATACTAATATTGAAATGGTCTGGTGGTGAGGCCAAACCCATCCCAACATCATTTAGGTTCAAAGCCAGTAACCTGGTGCTGACCTGCTTATGAAACCTTGTTTGGGATTCTGTAGTATTTGCTCGTTATAATTTTTGGTGTTCCTTACCTTAGAAAGATGTATTCGAGTGAACTGTATAGGGATCACACGGTTATCTATGCCTAAAATGATGAGGTATAAGTATTTATCCAAAAAAAAAAATGATGAGGTATAAGTAGCGGTGATAATGAAGTAGTCTGGTGGTGAGCCCACACCGTTCCCAATTTCATTTAGGTTCAAAGTGGGTAACCTGGTGTTGACTTGCTTATAAACTTTGTTCAACATGATGCCATTTATTGCTGATGTGTTTGTTAGGCTAGCAGTTTCAGTCAGTGCTAGCTCTAATGTTAGACACATGTTCTACTTTTAAGTAATTGTTGTGTTGATTTTAAGATTATGAGCTTTAATCTTGAAATTTTTATACTTCGTTCTATCTTGACTTTCAATTGATATTACAAGTGATTTAAAGAATTGAGTTGAGGATACATCATCACCTGTCTGGACTGCAACATGATGGTTAAATGTAGGCATGCAATTCAACCGTCCCTTTCAATGTATGTTGCATTAATGACCACAAACTTATGTTTTGCTATCCTAATGAAGTCTGTATGATGGTTTTTATGGAGCATGGAGCATTAAATGAGATGTATGATGTAAAATTTGTAGCAAAATTGGATGTAGACAGACACTAGGACATGACAATATCTAACAAGAAATATTTTGAGGGGGGAGAAGTCTATGGGTATGTTTGGTTTGTGTTTTAGAGATAAAAAGTACGAAAAGTTGTTTGGTTTGGTTTTTTTCAAAAGATGTTTTGGAAAATTATTTTGAGAGAGAGTTTTGGAAAAAGTGATTGATTTGATATGTGTGAGAGAGAGATTTGTTTGGAAAACTTGTTTGGTTTACAAGTTTTGAGAAATTTTTTTGGAAAAATTTGTTTGGTTTGATTACTTTTAAAAACTTATTTGTAGAGAAAATTTCCCAAAATTTTTTCACAAATACAAACCAAACGAACCCTATGTTTTTTATAAATTTATCCAAATTTGTGCATTAGTAGTTGCACAAATTGGGAATTAAAGATTAACAAACAGTAAGTGTTTCTTTAAAACTGTTCCAACTTTCTCTATATCTTTATCTTTACAACAATGTTCTTTTTTGTATATTATAAGTGGGGTTCATGCTTGACTTGGCAAGGTAAATATTCAGTTTCTTTTGAAATATCTCGTGTTCTTGACATTTATTGGCTTGTATTGCCTTATGTGGTGTCCTATGAAGCATGGACACTCCAAAATTAGTACCGTGGCGGTGTCCGACATGGGGACACACCGGGGACACGTACGAGACACGCCAGATGGCGTGTCCCTTTAATTTAATTATTTTTTTGTAGGGGACATGGTGGGGACACGGCAGGGCTTTTTTTTTTTTTAATTTAAATCTTTTGCCTCTCTTATTTAGTGCTTTTGTGAAAAATATTGTTGGATGTTGAATGTTGAATGTTTTCCCCTTCTTGTCTTTGTTCTTGTTATTGTTTATTATGACTTTTTTGTGAATGAATAATCTATTAATTTGTTTAAATGTAATGGTTATGTTTATTCAATTAATGTTACTATGTTAGTGTTTGTTAATTTTAATTTAGGATGAATGTAATATGAATCTACATAACACATAAAAATATATAAAATAAAATTCGTCGTGTCCCCCGCCGTATCCATGTCCCCATTTTTTGGAAATTACCGTGTCCTGTGTCTGTGTCCGTATCTGTGTCTGTGTCCATGCTTCATAGGTGGTGTCAGTTTCAGAGCTCCTATGATCTACTGTTCATTCTTCATGGTTTGGTTTTGACCATGATATTGTAATCATAATAAAAATGAAATGAACAGAGTAGGTTTTTGGTTGGGAGGATTAATCTTGTTGAGGATGTTTCATGCAGACAATCTTTCTAAAAATGTCTATAAAGTACAATGGTACTCGTGTAAATTATACTATATATAGCATTGGTATTGACCTTTAATTCATGCTTCATTAGTTTGGTTTTGGCTGTTGGAGGTGTGATATCTCCGACCACTGGGAGGGTGACAAGAAATCAACAGGATTACTATTGAACATTCCATAGGACACCCAACAGAAAGAAGTTTTCAAAAAAAGAGTGGGAGAATTTCACCGAAGAATCAACCCGACATGCTGTGGCTGAGTTGGCATCCTCTCCAAAGTTCACTGATTGGATTATTAAGCATGCTGACAGCAGATGATAATTCAGATAACACAATTGGAAGTGGCTCAGATTCCCCATATGAGAATCTTGTAGAAAGTGGCGATTGATTTAGTTTGTTCAAATGGTAGCTGTGACCTTAGAGTGTAGGAAATTAGTTACTTGTAGCAGTACAATGAGGTAGATGCTAGGAATGGTGCTCATTTAATTTTTCTTCTTCTTTGTTTTAGGTTTACTTTTAATACATCGTATTATGTCATTAAGCAATTATGGCAAATCTTTTGAAATCTTCTAATCATGTTATAGTGCGTGCTCTTTCTATGCCTCTTCCTACCAAATACTTCTGATGGTTGCATAAAAAGAGCATTCTCAAGTGTTTTAACTCTCTCATTCAGTTTTAACCACTTATTCAGTCACCTAAAAAGAGGGCAACACACTCGTGCAGTTTCAACCTTTGTTTGCACTTGTTTATCTGTTTTAGTTCAAGCTGGTGCATATGTTATGTTTGTTTCTATCTCAAATCTATAATACTATAGCTAGTAGGCCTAGAAAGGTATCTTATCTATGACGCTAGTTTTGGTACATTCTAAGCACGGTTTCCATTCTCTGTGAATAATTTTAAGGGCTAATTACATTTTTGGGAGATTTATGTGCATATCTTAATAGGCAGATTTATTGCCTAATAGGTCATGTGATAATGGCGCTTTTATAAAAAAAAAAAAAAAAAAAAGCGTCACTAATTGTTAGTTTTTAACAACAATTTGAAAAATTATCACAAAAACGCGCTAATTGTCAGTTTTTAGTGATGCATTTAGAAAATTGTCACATAAAATGTCATTAATTGTTAGTTTTAGTCATAGTTGTCAAATCGGGATTCGTATCGTGAATCGAAATGGTCTTGTACCGAATCGCGAATCGAATCGAATCGTGAATCGTAAAGATTCGGTCACTTTTTCTAAATTATTTAAAAACATATATCTATACATTTAAATGTTAAATATATCTTATGAATATAAAATATTTAGACTTAAATCAATAAAAATGTTATTTTGAATAATAATCACGTAGTTTAATAGGTAAGAAGTTAACAAAGGTTCCTATGTAAGATCACCATATTACCTTTTTTCTTTTTTAGATATTTCTTATCAACCATTTTTAATAAAGATGTAATATCACCATCTTGTCTTTTTTCTTTTTTAGATATTTCTTATCAGCCATTCTTAATAAAAATAGTAACCAAATAGACAAACTATCAATTTCCAAAGTAACAATAATTAACAACAATGTTGATATTTTGACAATAAACATATATACTTTTCTAAGTAACAGTGAGCAAATAATAAGAAGGAATTATTTAGAATCTTTTATTTTAAAGCCTAAAACATTTTAAAAAGTATAACTGACCTCACACATGTAATATTCAATTTAATAAAATAGTAATAGATAATTCATAGTATGACTTTAATCTTAAACATCTTTAGAAGATATATTATGATTTTTTAAAAAGAAAAAAAATGGGAAGAAAGGTTAAAAATATGTTGGGTCTGATTGAATCTAACTGGATCTTATTAAAAACTCCATGATCACTAAAATAACAATAAATCATGTATATATATTGGTTATTTTGGTATTAAACGCTATTAAAAGTTGTATTATGCCATTTTCACCAAAAAGATGGAGAAAAAAAGAGTCGAAAATATGTCGTATACAATAATTTCAAAAATTGCGTGAATCGTAAAAAGTGAATCGAATCGTGAATCGATTATGAATCGTGCGATTCACTAGAGATTCACTTCCAAAATAGATTTACCCATAGATTCGTATCGATTTTTCAAAAATTGCGAATCGAATCGTGAATCGAATCGTGAATCGTAAGATTCTGATAACAGAGGTTTTAGTAATAGATTTATACAATTGATCAAATTTATTCCAAAATTTAGTTTGGTTTGATTTTATTTGTTCATATGAGCAGTTGGTTCAAATCCTAGATTTTCCATAGATCTTTAACTTGTACAAATTAAAAACTTGTGTATAAACATGTAATTATGGATCAATCTTTGCTAGGCACCTAGAAGGTACACAATGTGGCTAAAGTTACGATGTAATGTGCTTAAAATTGTAACTTCAAACATATTGAATAACACTTTGAGTTATGACTCACCGAGTAACTCATGGGTCATTGGAGTTATTACAGAATGAGATCATATCATATTTTGAGAACATTGTGTTGTAATTTTGTGCACATCTCATCATCATAATTAGAGGATACAAATTTGTGCACACTTTTTTGGGTTGCACATTATAGCTTTTTCCTATAATGACAAGTTCTTTATATGAACTAGTGGTGGGTGTCATGTTGTGTTAGGTTGTATTTGTATTGTTTCATTTTAGGTTTGTATTTGAATTATTTCAACACTAACGTAACATGTTTATTATTTCGTATTTTTGAGTCATGTCATTTTTGGTATTTGTCCAGTTCATGTTGCTTTAATGTGTTATGTCAAATTTTTTTTACCTTAATTAGTTAAAAAGACTCAGTGTAGAGACCAATTATTGGATAAAATTATTCATAAATATATTTTCTTTCAATTCATTTTTTTTTTGTGCTTAATTTACAAAATCACATCCTATTATTTTATATTTTTATTAGATTATAATACTAGGAAAAAAAAAATTATCTTCAATTAAGAAAAAAAAATATTAGCCTTAAAATTTCTATTTTACATACTTTTTAATCAATTAGATGGAGTTATATAAGCAATTCAAAAATGTCATGGTACCTTTTAGTAGAAATAACATTGAAATATGTAAATAATTATTTATTAAACAAGTTATCCATATCAATTTCGTGTTATATAAGTTTAACACTAACTTAACCTGTTTAATATTCAGATTATTCGATCGTGTTATATTTGTGTTTGTGTCGAAAGATTGATAAGTTAAATTGTTTTAACTCTTAGGTACCTATTATGGAATGCTAGAGTCAAATTTGTGGTCTATAGACTATATAAAATAGACGCAACTAAAATGTCTACTACTATTGTGCTCTACAGGAGTTCTCTTACAGTATGTCCAATAGAGATGTTAAATTTGTGTGTTAAGTGCTTAGTGCCTAGTAATTTAGAGTGTAAATTGGTGTTCTCATCGATGTGTTAAAGAGTGTGTTAAAATGTGTGTTATGTGAGGGTAGAGTCCAACTGAATGAGTTAAATATATAGTGTATCAGTTGATAAAATTTCAAAAAATTCAACTAGAAGGACAAGGAAAGAAGATAAATTACACCATTAATCCCTATAGTTTAAGCGAATTAATTTTCACTTAATCCCCGTAGTCTTAATTTAAACATTTGAATCCCATACTTTCATTTTTGTTGCAATATTATCTACTTGTCATGCACCTTTTATTTGTTGGATAGAAAAACATCCCGTGCACAGCTAAAGAGAGTAAAGTGGAATTCAAAAGAAACAATAGAGACCGTTGGTATAGTTTATTCAATTTCTTTTCTTGTGTTGAAATTGCTAAGAATCTCATGCGTGTTGCATGTGGTAGTTTTGCATATAAAATTTCAACGGTGTGTGATAGAAGGATTAGATTGTAACAAAATTAGAAATATAAAGTTCAAATTGAAATTATGAGGACCAAACCAAAACTTTGCTCAAACTAGATAGACCAACGATATAATTTACCTTAAAAAGTTAATCGGTGACTTGGCCAGCCAAAAGGCTATCATAGTTAAGGGAAGTACACAGTGGCTGATAATGTTAAGGAAAATGAGTGGGAGCACTAATTAGTGCCACCACTAATAATGTGGCAGTGGATCCCACCCACTGCCACAATGTTGTTGTGTTTGTTTGTTTGTTTGTTTTTTTTTTTTTTAGAAAGTGGATGCCACAGCATTAGTGGTTACTTTAGAGCACCACTTTTAGTTGTCTCTAGCATTGCCCTAATGTTAAAGAGGAAGATTAAATGTCCACTAGGGGAGAAAAAAAAGGGAAAAGTTTAGGTAACTATTAACTTACGACACTAACTACCTTCTTAACACTTTCTAAGTTCCAAAATGTGAATATTTAGGAAAGGCAAAAGAAAAAAGACAAGAAAAATGAAAATGAATACAACTTAAATATGCATATCATAAGTCAAATTGAAACATAGTTGATGGGAAATTATAGATGAAACTAAGGAGCATAAAAGGCTATTAGTGAAGAGAGATGCATAACAAAAACAACAAATCAATTGTTGATCAACAAAAGAAATCGTCAAGAAGTGTGCTACTTCAAAGATCGCAATAAGGGCATAATCTGATCATTTTGATAGTATATTTTCTCCTTACTCCAAATGTGTTCCACGCCAATTTAATGATTGAGTAATACAAGACTTAAGTTGTTTTGTACAAAGTTTGAGTGGCCTTATAACCAAAAAAAAAAAAAAAGAAGTTCAAGTTGCCATTTTTTTTTTTTGCATTAGAAACTAACTTCCATTTATATTCTTATACATTATACACACAAACATATATAACAATATATTGTATTAATGAGTTAGAGTATATAGGATAAGATTGTTGCATCTCTATGAAACAAAAAAATTACACATGTTTCTTCCACATGTTGTCGTTCATTGGAGATTACAAACCAATACTTGCATTGGCAAAAGAAGACAAAGTGAGGGAATTGCGCTATAGCTTTACCTTGCATTGCAACCTTCAAATACTTCTCCAATTTATTAGAATACACAATATATTTACTACAAACAATTTATAATTGACTTTGTATGAGCTATCTTCTTCCAAACCTTCTTTGATCTCTTCCCATGTTGACACATTTTTACACCAAAAATCCTTACGAGCCATTCTTCTTTCCTTCGAATAATGCAACTTCCAATCAACAAACCAAGCAATACGCCACACCCATATCCCATCAACACAACTTCCCAACCAAAGCCATCAAATTTGAACTTAAAATTGTGGCTAAATGAGGATGGTAAAGTTGGTGATTCTGCTATCTGGACATTCCCACAATTCTTTGACAATGGAAACCCGCACAAGCCTAGATTTCTCTCATATGAAGTGTTTGAAAATGTTTCAAACTGCTGGACCCGTGGTATAATCCCAGTTAGATTATTTTGTGAGACATCAAAAACTTCAAGGAATGTCAAGCTTGTTAGTTGTTGAGGTATCTCACCAGAGAGCTTGTTTTGGGATAGATCCAAGGACTCAAGCTCAGTTAGATTCGACAAGGACAATGGAATCTGACCTGTGAAACCATTTCTTGAAAAATTTAGGACACGGAGGGCTTTGAGTCTTCCAATAGATATGGGAATCTTTCCATCAAACTTGTTGTGCGAGAAATCAACAGCTTTAAAGATGGTGATGATCCTTACGAGTGTCATTTCCAGTCCTTTATTCATTATGGTTACCGAATAATAACCATAACAAACGCCCATATAATTTAAGGAGGATTTGTCTTTATCATCCATCATCATTGAATGCATGCTCTCAAAGTATTCTGATGGCAAAGTGCCTGTAAATTCATTGTGAGACATGTCAATGATATGTAAATTGGTGAAGGCTAATCTCTTCCTTGGTTGCTCTATGGGACCATGGAATTTATTATCTCGCAAGACAATAATCTTCAATTGGGGCAGGTTCTCCAACCAAAATGCAAAAGCATCTTCTATGAAATTATGACCCACATTCAAAATTTCTAGGTTTGTGCAATTCGCCTCAAAGCTGTTTCCATTTCCCACCTCAAAGCTTCAAGCCAACAGCACCGAACCCAACAACCATTCTCTCTCTGTCTCTCTCTCTCTCTTTAAATATCTGTCTTCGCCTTTACAGAGCCGAAATAAGTAAAATAATTCGGCCAATTAAAAACAAAAATAATAAAAAAATTTGGAATTTATGGACCGAAAATATTAATTTTGTTCGGAACTCTAAGACCGAAAAAAATTAAAAAATCGTAATCCTAATAACGAACTATTCATATTATTTCGGTATTTGATAACCGAATTAATTTAACAAATTCGGCACTGCGTTTCCGACTAAAAAATGCAAAAAAAAAATAAAAATACTCCACGATTTTACCTTTTCAATACTGATTTTGCTGTCACTATTGCTTGAGTTTGAACTGTCATAGGTTTGTAACTCTTCCATATCAAAATTAAATAAAAATTGTTGAACTAATAATTAAACGATGTTAATAATTGAGTAGAAACTTAAAGATTAAAGTAATAAAGGAGATGTTTTGTTTGCAAATAAGAGAGAGGAGTACAAAGTGTGTGTAAGAAGCAAAGTGATTACAAAAGAAAAATTAGGGTTGAATTTTTTTGTTTCAAAAAGTGTATATTGAGAAATTTATATTTCTAAAAGATGTGTATAGAGAATTTGTATATATAATATTAGGAGTGTTGATCAATGGCTATTATAGTAATTTTTAATTAGGATATAATTGTCATTAATCTAATTTTTCATTAAGTGTGTTGACTGAGTTTATTATCAGTTGATAAAATTTCAAAAAATTCAACTAGAAGGACAAAGAAAGAAGGTAAATTACACCATTAATCCTTATAGTTTAAGTGAATTAATTTTCACTTTAATTCCCGTAGTCTTAATTTAAACATTTGAATCCCATACTTCCATTTTTTGTTGCAATATTGTCCATTTGTCATGCGCCTTTTATTTTTTGAATGGAAAAACAACTCGTGTACAACTAAAGAGAGTAAAGTGAAATTCAAAAGAAACAACAGAGACCATTAGTATAGTTTATTCAATTTCTTTTCTTGTGTTGAAATTGCTAAAAATCTCATGTGTGTTGCATAGGGTAGTTTTGCATATAAAATTTCTACGGTATGTGATAGAAGGATTAGACTGTAACAAAATTAAAAATATAAAATTCAAATTGAAATTATGAGGACCAAATCGAAACTTGCTCATACTAGATAAACCAATGATATAATTTACCTTAAAAAAAGTTTAATCGGTGACTTGGCTAGCCAAAGGGCTATCACAATTAACGAAACTACACAGTGGCTGATAATGTTAAAGAGGAAGATAACATGTCCACTAGGACAAAACAAATGGAAAAGATTAGGTAACTATTAACTTATGACACTAACTACCTTCTTAACACTTTCTAAGTTCCAAAATGTGAACATTTAGGAAAGGGAAAAGAAAAAACACAAGAAAAATGAAAATGAATACAACTTAGATACGCATATAATAATTCAAATTGAAAACATAGTTGATGAGTAATTACAGATGAAACTAAGGAACATAAAAGGTTATTAGTGAAGAGAGATGCAAAACAAAAACAACAAATCAATTATTGATCAACAAAAGAAATCATCAAGAAGTGTGCTGCTTCAAAGATAACAATAAGGGCATAATCGTATCATTTTGATAATATATTTTCTCCTTACTCCAAAGGCGTTCCACGAAAATTTAATGGTTGAGTAATACAAAACTTAAGTTGTTTTGTACGAAGTTTGAGTGGCCTTGTGATAAAAAAACGTTAAAGTTGCAATTTTTCTTGTTTGCATTAGAAACTAACTTCCATTTATATTCTTATACATTATACACACACACACACACACACACACACATATATATATATATAACAATATATTATATTAGTGAGTTAGAGTATATAGGATAAGATTGTTGCATCTCTATGAAACAGAAGAATTACACATGTTTCTTCCACATGTTGTTGTTCATTGGAGATTACAAACCAATCCTTGCATTGGCAAAAGAAGACACAACGACAGAATTGCGGTATAGCTTTACCTTGCATTGTAGCCTTCAAATACTTCTCCAATTTATTAGAATACACAATATATATACTACAAACAATTTATAATTGACTTTGTATGAGCTATCTTCTTCCAAACCTTCTTTGATCTCTTTCCATGCTGACGCATTTTTACACCAAAAATCCTTACGAGCCATTCTTCTTTCCTTTGAATAATGTAACTTCCAATCAACCAACCAAGCAATACTCCACACCCATATCCCATCAACACAGCTTCCCAACCAAAGCCATCAAATTTGAACTTAAAATTGTGGCTAAATGAGGATGGTAAAGTTGGTGATTCTGCTATTTGGACATTCCCACAATTCTTTGACAATGGAAACCCGCACAAGCCTAGATTTCCCTCATATGAAGTGTTTGAAAATGTTTCAAACTGCTGGCCTCGTGGTATAATCCCAGTTAGATTATTTTGCGAGACATCAAAAACTTCAAGGAATGTCAAGCTTGTTAGTTCTTGAGGTATCTTACCAGATAGCCTGTTTTGGGATAGATCCAAGGACTCAAGCTTAGTTAGATTCACCAAGGACAATGGAATCGGACCTGTGAAGCCATTTCTTGAAAAATTTAGGACACAAAGGGCTTTAAGTCTTCCAATAGATATGGGAATCTTTCCATGAAACTTGTTGTGTGAAAAATCAACTAATTTGAAGATGGTGAGGATCTTAACGTATTCCATTTCATATCCTTTATTCATTATGGTCACCGAATAATAATCATATATGGCTATGTATTTTGACTGAGCTTTGTCTTCATTGGCCATCATCATTGAATCCCAACTATCAAAGTATTTTGATGGCAAAGTACTTGTAAAGTCATTGTGAGACATGTCAATGATATGTAAATTGGTGAAGGCTAATCTCTTCCTTGGTTGCTCTATGGGACCATGGAATTTATTATATCGCAAGACAACAACCTTCAATTGGGGCAGGTTCTCCAACCAAAATGGAAAAGCATCTTCTATGAAATTATGACCCAGATTCAAAATTTCTAGGTTTGTGCAATTCGCCAATGATCTTGGAAGCACCCCTTGCAATCCATTGTGGCTAATGTCAAGTTCCAGTAACATGCTTGCATATCCAAATGTTTGAGGGATGGTACCATGGAAATTGTTTCTTAAATTTCCACTGAAGTTCCCCAAACAGGTAGGGATTAATCCGGAAAATTGGTTATTGGACAGATTGAGATATCGAAGAGAATGAAGATTGCAGAGTGGATTGAGTTCTTCATTTAGGTGGTTGTTCGAAAGGTCTAGCACCTCCAACAATTTCGTTCGGGTTTTCAGAAATTCAGGAATTTTACATATGTTGCAAGACGACAATCGTAATGTCCTAATGTTTCGGAAAGAGGAGGGAGTGGAGTTGGTGGTGGTCAATGATAGACCACTGTTTGAAAGATCCAAATAATCCAAATATTCAAGCTCTGCAAATGTGTCCAGCTCAACAGTGTTGCTTAAATTATTTGACGAAAGATCAAGAGAGGTAAGGTTCACAAGATGAAACAAGGAAGGAGGTATTGTCCCATTGATTGAGTTACTGCCTAAATTTAGATACAGTAGACTTGGAAGGCCAGTTATTGATGATGGAATGGGACCTGTTAGTTGATTGTTTGAGAAATCTACATAATAGAGTTGCGAGAAGTTGAGAAAAAGTTGTGGAATTGGGCCTTCAAAATTGTTGTATGAAAGATCAATCGAGGTTAATCGCGTGAGGTATGTAAGCGATCTTGGAATCGAACCGGAGAAATTGCAGTCGGCGAGGTTTAGCTCCACCAAGTTTTTAAGATGGCCGATTGAAGATGGGAATTGACCATTGATCAAGTTATTCCCTGGAAGATACAATATTCTTAGTTTCTTGAGGTTTCCAAGCGATGTCGGAATGGTACCAAAGAAATTGCAGCTTTGGAGGTATAGCTCCTCCAAGTTTTTAAGATGGCTGATTGAAGATGGGAATTGACCATTGTTGAAGTTATTCCCTCCAAGAGCTAACATTCTTAGTTTCTTGAGGTTTCCAAGCGATGTCGGAATGGTACCGAAGAGATTGCAGTCATAGAGGTATAGCTCCTCCAAGTACTCAAGTTGGCCGATGGAATTAGGTAGCTCTCCGGTGAAATCTATTTCAGAGAGAGCCAACGACCTAAGGTGCCTAAGGTGCCGGAGAGTTCCATTAATAAAACTTGGAAGTTTACCTGTGAGTTCTCTGTTACCGCTTAACTGCAGCTCCTGCAAATTTATATTAGTCTTAAAATTTCTATTTCACATACTCTTTAATCAATTAGATGGAGTTACATAAGTAATTCAAAAATGTTATGGTACCTTTTAGTAGAAATAATATTAAAATTTGTAAATAATTATTTATTAAACAAGTTATCTATATTAATTTTGTGCTATACAAGTTTAATACTAACTTAACCTGTTTAATACTCTTAGGTACCTACTATGGGATGCCTGAGTCAAATTTGTGGTCTATAGACTATATGAAATAGACACAACTAACATGTCTACTACTATCGTGTTCCACAAGAGTTTTCTTATAGATGTTAAATTTGTCTGTTAAGTGCTTATTAATTTAGAGAGTAAATTGGTGCTCTTATGGATGTGTTAAAATGTGTGTTATGTGAGGGTATAGTCCAATTGAATGAGTAAAAAATATAGAGTATCAGTTGATAAAATTTCAAAAAATTCAACCAAAAGAACAAAGAAAGAAGGTAAATTACACCATTAATCCTTATAGTTTAAGTGAATTAATTTTCACTTTAATTCCCGTAGTCTTAATTTGAACATTTGAATCCCATACTTCCATTTTTTGTTGCAATATTGTCCGCTTGTCATGCGCCTTTTATTTTTTGAATGGAAAAACAACTCGTGTACAACTAAAGAGAGTAAAGTGGAATTCAAAAGAAACAACAGAGACCATTGGTATAGTTTATTCAATTTCTTTTCTTGTGTTGAAATTGCTAAAAATCTCATGTGTGTTGCATGGGTTAGTTTTGCATATAAAATTTCTACGGTATGTGATAGAAGGATTAGACTGTAACAAAATTAAAAATATAAAATTCAAATTGAGATTATGAGGACCAAATCAAAACTTGCTCATACTAGATAAACCAATGATATAATTTACCTTAAAAAAAGTTTAATCGGTGACTTGGCTAGCCAAAGGGCTATCACAATTAACGAAACTACACAGTGGCTGATAATGTTAAAGAGGAAGATAACATGTCCACTAGGACAAAACAAATGGAAAAGATTAGGTAACTATTAACTTATGACACTAACTACCTTCTTAACACTTTCTAAGTTCCAAAATGTGAACATTTAGGAAAGGGAAAAGAAAAAACACAAGAAAAATGAAAATGAATACAACTTAGATATGCATATAATAATTCAAATTGAAAACATAGTTGATGAGTAATTACAGATGAAACTAAGGAACATAAAAGGTTATTAGTGAAGAGAGATGCAAAACAAAAACAACAAATCAATTATTGATCAACAAAAGAAATCATCAAGAAGTGTGCTACTTCAAAGATAACAATAAGGGCATAATCTTATCATTTTGATAATATATTTTCTCCTTACTCCAAAGGCGTTCCATGAAAATTTAATGGTTGAGTAATACAAGACTTAAGTTGTTTTGTACGAAGTTTGAGTGGCCTTGTGATAAAAAAACGTTAAAGTTGCAATTTTTCTTGTTTGCATTAGAAACTAACTTCCATTTATGTTCTTATACATTATACACACACACACACACACATATATATATAACAATATATTATATTAGTGAGTCAGAGTATATAGGATAAGATTGTTGCATCTCTATGAAACAGAAGAATTACACATGTTTCTTCCACATGTGGTTGTTCATTGGAGATTACAAACCAATCCTTGCATTGGCAAAAGAAGACACAGCGACAGAATTGCGGTATGGCTTTACCTTGCATTGTAGCCTTCAAATACTTCTCCAATTTATTAGAATACACAATATATATACTACAAACAATTTATAATTGACTTTGTATGAGCTATCTTCTTCCAACCCTTCTTTGATCTCTTTCCATGTTGACGCATTTTTACACCAAAAATCCTTACGAGCCATTCTTCTTTCCTTTGAATAATGTAACTTCCAATCAACCAACCAAGCAATACTCCACACCCATATCCCATCAACACAGCTTCCCAACCAAAGCCATCAAATTTGAACTTAAAATTGTGGCTAAATGAGGATGGTAAAGTTGGTGATTCTGCTATTTGGACATTCCCACAATTCTTTGACAATGGAAACCCGTACAAGCCTAGATTTCCCTCATATGAAGTGTTTGAAAATGTTTCAAATTGCTGGCCTCGTGGTATAATCCCAGTTAGATTATTTTGCGAGACATCAAAAACTTCAAGGAATGTCAAGCTTGTTAGTTGTTGAGGTATCTCACCAGAGAGCTTATTTTGGGATAGATCCAAGGACTCAAGCTCAGTTAGATTCACCAAGGACAATGGAATTGAACCTGTGAAGCCATTTCTAGAAAAATTTAGGACACGGAGGGCTTTGAGTCTTCCAATAGATATGGGAATCTTTCCATCAAACTTGTTGTGTGAGAAATCAACAGCTTTGAAGATGGTGATGATCCTTACGAGTGTCATTTCCAGTCCTTTATTCATTATGGTTACCGAATAATAACGATAACCATTACCATAACCAGTGCCCATATAATTTAAGGAGGATTTGTCTTCATCATCCATCATCATTGAATGCATGTTCTCAAAGTGTTCTGAGGGCAAAGTGCCTGTAAATTCATTGTGAGACATGTCTATGATATGTAAATTGGTGAAGGCTAATCTTTTCCTTGGTATGGGGCCATGGAATTTATTATCTCGCAAGACAATAATCTTCAATTGGGGCAGGTTCTCCAACCAAAATGGAAAAGCATCTTCTATGAAATTATGACCCACATTCAAAGTTTCTAGGTACGTGCAATTCGCCAATGATCTTGGAAGCACCCCTTGCAATCCATTGTTGCTAATGTCAAGTTCTTCCAACCGGCTTGCATATCCAAAAGTTTGAGGGATGGTCCCACTGAAATTGTTACTCTGCAAATTTAACACCATTAAATCTCTACTGAAGTTCCCCAAACAGGTAGGGATTAATCCGCCAAATTGGTTATTGGACAGATCGAGATATGTAAGAGAATGAAGATTGCATAATGGATTGAGTTCTTCATTTAGGTGGTTGTTCGAAAGGTCTAGTGCCCCCAACAATTCCATTCGGGTTTTCAGAAATTCAGGAATTTTATTTATGTTGCAAGACGACAATCGTAATAGCCCAATGTTTCGGAAAGAGGAGGGAGTGGAGTTGGTGGTGGTCAATGATAGACCACTGTTTGAAAGATCCAAAGAATCCAAATATTCAAGCTTTGCAAACTTGTCCAGCTTAACAGTGTCGCTTAAATTATTTGACGAAAGATCAAGAGAGGTAAGGTTCACAAGATGAAACAAGGAAGGAGGTATTGTCCCATTGATTGAGTTACTGCCTAAAAATAGATACTGTAGATTTGGAAGGCCAGTTATTGATGATGGAATGGGACCTGTTAGTTGATTGTTTGAGAAGCCTATAGATTGAAGTTGCGAGAAGTTGGAAAAAAGTTGAGGAATTGGGCCTTCAAAATTGTTGTATGAAAGATCAAGCGAAATTAATCGCGTGAGGTTTGTAAGCGATCTCGGAATCGTACCAGAGAAATTGCAGTCAATGAGGTATAGCTCCTCCAAGTTTTTAAGATGGCCGATTGAAGATGGGAATTGACCATTGATCAATTTATTAAAGCTAAGATCAAGCGAAATTAATCGCGTGAGGTTTGTAAGCGATCTCGGAATCGTACCAGAGAAATTGCAGGCAGCGAGGCGTAGCACCTCCAAGTACTCAAGTTGGCCGATGGAATTAGGTAGCTGTCCGGTGAAATCTATTTCAGAGAGATCCAACGACCTAAGGTGCCTAAGGTGCCAGAGAGTTCCATTAATAAAACTTGGAAGTTTACCTGTGAGTTCTCTGTTACCGCCTAACAGCAGCTCCTGCAATTTCTGTAAGTGGAAAATGCTATTGGAGAAGTTATTCCCTTGCCAGACTTCTTCTTCTTCTAATGATTGTATTGGGCCAGAAAGATGGGAGTAATGGAGGTGAAGATGGGTCAAATTTGTGAAATGGCCAAATGAAGGTAAAATTTGAGAGTGATTGAAGTTGTTTCCAGAAAGGTAGAGGTGTTGAAGGTGAACAAGATTGAAGAGGCTGCTGTTTGGATGGATGGTACCATATAGGCAGTTACAATTGAGGTGGAGGCCAATGACATGAGAAGTGGTGTTATCACATGTGACCCCATCCCATGCACAACAATCTGTACCCTCTTTCCAATTATCAGTATATGGACCAGGGCAAACGCAAGCAGAGCAATTGAAGGAAAAGGATTGCTTAAATTGGAGCAAAGCAGTGCTCTCGTCATTATGGCAAAGATGTGCAGAAGAAGAGAAGCAGAAAATTAGGGAATACAGGAGGATACATATTGTGAGTTGATAATTGGATAGTAAGAAACCCATTCTTACACCAGTATTGGGTGGTAGAGAGGGAATTGGATATGATGCTTCTTCTATATGCACTCTCCTATTTATAACTTAATAAATAATTCAATAATCAAAAAATATAAACTGAAAATTGTCATTGTATAGTCTCACATATTACCATTGTATCAGTCTAATGGATTCCATCACTTGGTCAATTTTATTACTAATATAAAGATAAAATATAAGATGATAAACCACTTTTAGTAAATAAATGTAATTCAGCTTGTTTGGTTTGTGAATTCTAAATTCACTTTTTAGAAAATTAAAATTTTTTGTTTTCCGTATTTTTTTATTTTCACTGAATTTTTTTTTATATTTTAAATAATTTTTAAAATTTTTAGATACACCGAACATAAATACACTTAAAAAGTATAATGTTTGTGAAAAAAATCTTTAAAAAATTCACTAAATATCGAAAATACAATATATATAAACTCAGTACATTTTTTGTATTCTTGTATATTTATGGATTTTTTGAAATATTTTTTTACAAATATTTTACTTTTTAAATACATTTAAGTAAGGTGTATCTAAAAAAGTAAAAAAAAAAAAAGCTTAAAATTTTAAAAATATTCACTAAAAACAAAAAAATGCATTCCATCGATCTCCTGATTTTGTTGCACTTCTGAAGGTATTCTCCTGACCAAATTATGCCTAAACTTTTCGGTTGCAAGTCAATTATGTTGGAGCTTTATTGATTACTTACCTTAGTATGATTGTCACCAGGGCCGACCCTGGCCTAGGGCCAGTAAGGCCTGCGCCTTAGGCCCCAAAATTTAGACTGAAAAATAGGGCCTCCAAATTTAGTAAAATGTTATAGGCCCGATGTTTTTTTTTTTTTTAAAGGATCAATTTAAAGGGCCCCAAAATATTTATTGGGTCTATGTATGGTTTACCTCATATTTATTTATAAGTGTAGTTTGGCCCATATATTTATTAAAATGAAAAAATATATTTAAAAAAAAGTGTTTGGACCCAAGAAGAACAATACATACAATATATGGGCCCTAATTTATTTATTTTTTTACCTTCTTTATCTATTAGATTTTAGTGGAATAAATATTTTTGCCCTAATTTTTTTACCTAGGTCTTTATCAGTTTTAATTGAATAATTTTTTCCTAATTTTTTTGTCCTAATTTTGTTTCATTAAATTATTTTGTTTATAATTTTAATGATTATATGTGCAAGTAAATTTTTTGTGGCTACAACAAATTATTCATGAACTTTTTTTTTTTTCAATATAAGAGGGGCCCCCATTTCCGAAATTCGCCTTAGGCCCCCTAAATCTTAGGGCCGACTTTGTCAGGAACCAGTCGTATTATAGAGCACCGGAGAAGATTCTGGGTGAATTCATGGGAAGGAGCCTTGGGAAACACTGCGCTTACCACGATGAGGATGGGCACCTGACTCAGGGGTGCAGAGCCCTGAAGATGCACTTGGAAGATCTGGTTAGACAGGGTCATTTGAGGGACATAGTAGATGAGACTAGAACGAGGGAAGAGCATGCAAGGCTTCCCCCGACAATGAGGGATTTTCATGGAGGAATGAGAATTGTTGATTTTTTGAAGCTTGACATTGTTATTTTGTCTCTTGGAAAATGTGGTATGATGTTACTTGGACAAGAGATGTGGAAATTAATCACAATAAAGGATTGTGTGGTGGAATTGAAAATGAAACTATATTAATGCATTGTTACATTTTGCATTGCCATTCTATTTAATCTTGTTATAATTGATTTTGAATCTTGCATTGGAAAATTATTGCTTTGAGAAATGAATTGTTTTATAAAACAAGAACATCTTGAACTGTTTTGAGGTAAATATATTGGTAAGTCCGGATAGGGGGTGTAGTTTGGTATTGATTAAGTTGACCTGAGTGTCCATGGTGAAAGACCGAAAACATGCGCGGAGGTGGTACCACGTGCCTTTCGGTTAGCAACAAAGTGGTGATTAGTAGTGCTTGCTATGCCTACTTGCAGACACCAACCTAGGGATTACCTGAGTCGTATTTACCATCCTTTGAACTACCTTGAAGTTATTGAATAGTTGTGTTTTCAAATTCCATTGTGCACAAAATTTTTGAAAGATAGAGATATATGTTTTTTAGCATGACATGGCATATGCATTCATCTCAGGAGACTGTATAAAATGTATATACTCTGTTAAGATCTTCTTACTGGGCTTTGTGCTCACCCTATGGGATTTTGTGCAGGAAAGGATGTGGTGATCCCACCGAGTTAAAGGCGTGGAATGTAATTTGAGAGCACAAGGCTCTCTTCTTTTGTTGTAATTATTTTGACAAGCCAAGGGTTTTACATGTATGGGTTCAAAAACCATTTTTGTGTAACCGGGCATAAGAATTGGAATTTGTAGCCTTTGAGGCATTAATTTGTACTTGACTTATTGTGCCACATGCTATAGATTCATATTCTATGAATGTTAAATGTATAATCGCATTTTTTTGCAAATCTCTAGAGTTTAATGAATACAAATGTTAGAGATTTGATGATGATGTTAATGATGAGGCATTATATTCCTTATACATTTATGCAATGGAAGCTATTAATTTGGAAACAAGCTTATGCTAGTGGAATATGATGAGTTTATTTATGTTAATTTCTTTGGGGTGTTACATAATAGGTGGATTTATTGTCTAATAGGTCATATGATAATTAATGACGTTTTTTTTTTATCAAATACTATTAAAACAAAGTCAGTAATTGTTAATTTTTAATGACAGTTTGAGAATTTTGTCACAAAAAATGTCACTAATTTTCAACTTTCAGCGACAATTTGAAAAATTTGTTAGAGAAAAACGTCACTAATTGTAAGTTTTAGCAACAATTTATAAAAATCGTGACAAAAACAAGTTACTAATTGTCAATTTTAGCGACATATGCAAAAAATTGTCACAAAAAATTGTTTATAGCAATGAGTTTATTAGGACTTATTTTCAATAGGACTTGATGAGAATTAAGTCCAACTATTAGGATTTATTGATAGTTTATCCTAAAATATAAAAGAACTCTCATTACACTTTTATTATATTGGATTATAAGCTTTGAATGGTTATAAATTGATGAGGTTTGGTAAATGTTTTATTTATTTTTTATTATTGTTGTTGTTGTTGTTGCTGTTATTGTTGTTATTGTTTTTTTTTTTTTTGCTATTTCTTACTTAGACCAATCACAAGTGAGTGGGGGTGATGTTGAGTTATTATATATATATATATATATATATATATTTTGTATTCTAGCAATTTATGTTAGATTGTTTGGTACAACTTCTCATACAATTTTTACCTTTTTATTAAGTAGAAATAACTTAAATATGTTGAAAAAATAGATTTCTAAAAACTAGGTGATGGCATACTTTTGACTTTTATTTTTAGATTATTAGTTTTTAATTTATAATAAGTTGTACCAAACAACACTATTATTATTAATATATTTTTTTTGATTGGGCCAAATAAGAATCTTTACTGACCCTAATTACAAGACTTTTTATGTGGAAAAAAATGGATTGTTGAAAAGTTTTAGAGGGATTTTTGTAAAAGAAATCAAATTATGTGGAAAAAGAAATGCACTACTTTTTAGAGTCATAGAAATTTTGGAATTTACTTGGAAGCATAAAAAATTAGAATTTTTGTGGCATGTGCCTTTCAGTATTTAAAAAACCAACCCCACACGCTTAGATTTTGTATAGAAAGTCTTTTCAAATATTGGCCAAGAATGTTAAGCAAATCTTCCTTAATTTTGACCAAAATCTTCAATGACAATAAAATTATGCATTTAGAATTTTTATATAGAATTTTTGTATAGAATTTTTTTTAAATGTGTAATTTAAATTTAAATTTTATATTGTAGGGGATGAATTGAAATTACAGATTACGTTTTTTTAGGTATTTTTGGGTAAATTACACTTTGCACCCCTGCTCTTTGCACAAAATCTCATTTTGGCCCTTACACATGAAATCATAACAGTCAACTCCCAGAACTTTTTGTCAAATCCCACTCTGGTTCTTATACCTGAAATTGTGACAATTAACCGCATGTTACTTTTGGTCAATCTCACTTTGATCCATATACACGAGTCAATCTCTCATTTTTGTTACTCAATTGTCTAAATCTTTAACATAAATCTAATCCTATAATAAGAATGTGACTACGACATATAGCGATCCCGGGTTTACCCTTGTTATACCGTGATCCGGACATGTGTCCGTGGGTGTTGGTAGTTGTTTATTATTGTGTTTACATCCTTTTTCTTCGTATTTGAGTTATAGGATGTGTTGGGCGGGTTGGTTACAGGTTGGTTGAGTTTAGAAACCAAAACTAGTTGCCCAGATTTTTGGCCAGTCCGCTCGAGCGGAGGTGTTGGCGTTCGAGCGGGGAATACATCCATCCAGTATCTTGTTGTGCAGTGTTGTGAGCTCGAGCGTAGGGTTGGGAGCTCGAGCGGAGGCCTGGTTCTGCGTTGTAGAATGTGGATATAGCTTGTATGCTTATCTGTGGATATTGTTGATATACATATCTGTTGTAGAATGTGGATATAGCTTGTATGCTTATCTGTGGATATTGTTGATATACATATCTGTTGTAGAATGTGGATATAGCTTGTATGCTTATCTGTGGATATTGTTGATATACATATCTGTTGTAGAATGTGGATATAGCTTGTATGCTTATCTGTGGATATTGTTGATATACATATCTGTTGTAGAATGTGGATATAGCTTGTATGCTTATCTGTGGATATTGTTGATATACATATCTGTTGTAGAATGTGGATATAGCTTGTATGCTTATCTGTGGATATTGTTGATATACATATCTGTTGTAGAATGTGGATATAGCTTGTATGCTTATCTGTGGATATTGTTGATATACATATCTGTTGTAGAATGTGGATATAGCTTGTATGCTTATCTGTGGATATTGTTGATATACATATCTGTTGTAGAATGTGGATATAGC